ATGACATGATGAAACAGAACAAACTGAGACAGACTAAATCCAGAAGAACTGTGGCAACGTCTCCAAGATTCTTCAAGAGACCTATCTGCAAAGCTACCTGAAAAACTATGCGCAAGTGCACCGAGGGCAAAAGCTTTAAACGCAAGGGATGGTCACACCAAATGTTGATTTAATTTAGTTAATAGAGGTTAATTGATAAAGAAAATCTTTTTTTGTGAATATTGTGGTGATCTAAAACAATTAATTTTAGTTTGGTTTTATTTTAGAAAAACTGACAGAATAATTAAAATAGTGTAAAGAGTATACAGTGTATGTAAAAAAAGTATTTATTAAATACTTGTTAAATTGTCCCAGTAAGCACTACTAAAAAAGAGAAAGGAGAGAACATAAAGGCAGTGAGTGAATGTTGAATGACCTAAGGGCGAATAAGAGAACAAAATTGAGAGGGTCATACGCTTTAGGATTGAGGGAATGGGGTGTGGGCAGGGCTGGCTGACCTACATTCTGCTGCCCTTTCACTGATCTGCCTGTGTGAATCACACTGCCTCTTTTAAACTCTTAGCAACACTTATTAGACACGCACACATACCCTCAGTACACATCCTGTGGTGCTGTTATATGATATACACCTGCTCGTACGCACGCACATCATTGCGTTATAATGATTACTGTTCCACATGACACACATACACGCTCAGACACTTCTTCCCTTGTTTGCGCTCTCTATTTTTTGACCTACATCTTAGGCAGCTCAGTTACGTAACCAGAGTTATGTTGTGCTCTGGAATCCCAGCGCTCCTGCAGATGTTCAGAGACAAAACATCTTCTCTTCCCACGCCATTCCTCTCTCTGGCCTCTTTTCCTCCTTGTTCTCCCTCTCCTCATTTAACTTTTCCTCCTCCTTTGCTCGCATTTTCTGTTCTAGTTTTCCTACTTGTCCTGACAATCTGGGATTCAAAATCTAATTTGAATGTTTTAGTAAACAGAAGAGTTAAACCCATAAAATGAATAAGAAATATAATCTGCAAAGTGATACTTATTTCAGGATTTTTTGACAAGTGGAAAGTTTAAAAGAACAGCATCCATTTGAAATTAAAATCTTTTTGCAACATTACAATTTCTTTACTGTCACTTTTGATCAAATTTATGTTTTTGCTGAATAAAAGTAAAATGAATAAAATTTCTTTAAAAAAAAAAAATAATAATAATCCGACCCTGAACTTTTGAACAGTACCCTTTCATTCGGATATCTCAAAGTGAATATTTTTCTCTTTTTTCTCCCTTTTTTGTGAATATTGTGGTGATCTAAAACAATTAATTTTAGTTTGGTTTTATTTTAGAAAAACTGACAGAATAATTAAAATAGTGTAAAGAGTATACAGTGTATGTAAAAAAAGTATTTATTAAATACTTGTTAAATTGTCCCAGTAAGCACTACTAAAAAAGAGAAAGGAGAGAACATAAAGGCAGTGAGTGAATGTTGAATGACCTAAGGGCGAATAAGAGAACAAAATTGAGAGGGTCATACGCTTTAGGATTGAGGGAATGGGGTGTGGGCAGGGCTGGCTGACCTACATTCTGCTGCCCTTTCACTGATCTGCCTGTGTGAATCACACTGCCTCTTTTAAACTCTTAGCAACACTTATTAGACACGCACACATACCCTCAGTACACATCCTGTGGTGCTGTTATATGATATACACCTGCTCGTACGCACGCACATCATTGCGTTATAATGATTACTGTTCCACATGACACACATACACGCTCAGACACTTCTTCCCTTGTTTGCGCTCTCTATTTTTTGACCTACATCTTAGGCAGCTCAGTTACGTAACCAGAGTTATGTTGTGCTCTGGAATCCCAGCGCTCCTGCAGATGTTCAGAGACAAAACATCTTCTCTTCCCACGCCATTCCTCTCTCTGGCCTCTTTTCCTCCTTGTTCTCCCTCTCCTCATTTAACTTTTCCTCCTCCTTTGCTCGCATTTTCTGTTCTAGTTTTCCTACTTGTCCTGACAATCTGGGATTCAAAATCTAATTTGAATGTTTTAGTAAACAGAAGAGTTAAACCCATAAAATGAATAAGAAATATAATCTGCATTCTAGGTAACCAATCAAATAAGTGACTGTGTGAACCTTTGTACAAAAGGACAGATTTTCTTGTTCAGATAACATGGATCATCAGGTTTTGCACAAATACTGAGCCAGTCTGATGAATCATGCCATTCAAATTGCATTATAATGTGATTTGAGATAAAATAAAAAAAATAATAATTTGTGCACTTGCGTAAGAAATGTGCTGTATAAATAAATGTGGCCTTTAAATTAACATTAATTTGGCAATTTAACATTAATGATAAATTCTTGTTTTCTTTCTATATTATTTGCATGACGTATTATCGTATATGCAAATAGTCTCTGTTTCCTATAGATAAGGTTTATGAATCATTAAAGGACTAGAAGTCAAGCACTGCTGCAAATCGTTAAGAATTCTCTGACGTTTCTCAGCTACACTGCAGCACTTAAATGTGTTTTTGCTGTTCAGTTTTGAATTGAATGGTGTTCAGGCTCTCAGATGTATGTAGTGTTCAGTTATTAATGAGATCACAATGCAGCGTTCTGCTTACTCCTCTTTAAGCTCTCTGCAGGCTGGATGACGTATCTGCACCTCCACCCTCTCTCCTCCCCAACCCTCACTCTCTGAATTCCCCTTTTCTCATCCCTCTCCTCCCCTTCACACTGACCTACTTTTCCACTGACCTGCTTTCGTAAGGTTCCGCATACTCCGAACAAATAAAAAAAAACGAGGGAAATAGGGGAAAAAAGAGTGAAAAAAGACCAGCGAAGAGAACAAAGCACTGCAGCTCTTGCTAAAAGTCACCTTGCTTTTGTTCTTGCTACCGTAGCAACCGGTAGTGCGGCACAGTTCTGTGCTTGTTTTCATGTGATGTCATCAACAACAAGCACACAAAAATATTAGACACCTTTTAATGAATGTACTCATAACAGATGATTCGGCTGTTTGTTTGTAGTTGAATTATTGTAGAACAGGTAGTACTTTTAGATGAAGGTTGTACAGCAGGTTGTGTAAGTGCCATGCATATTACCTAATGTCGGACAGGGCAAGTGATATAACAAACTGGCAGTCTACCAGGAGCAATAAATTCATAAATAAATGACAGGTAATCATTAACACTTGAAAATGAGTGTGTCAGAAAAAATCTAGTGGAGAATTAGCGAGAAAGTCAAGATGTAATTTCTTGGGACCAGGGTTTTGAAAAGATTGGATTATGACCTGCACTTCAAGCGATTCTTTTTATAATGTCAGTTGATATCAGAACAGTTACATAACTTGTTTTCTGCTCTGGTCTTTTTTCTTCTTCTTTGAATTAGTGCCTGTACTTTCAGTACAGTATTTTCACGACCAGTGAACAGAGTGACCGGCTACATCATGTTCCTTTCCAATTATCTCACGTTCCTTTAAATTTGGTATAATTTGCAGCTGACTTTTTTATGACGTTGGTAATTTAATCCATCAATGCATATTTGGAGGAGAGAAAATGAAAGCATTTTTATGTGTACTTCTATTCGTTCACAGCCTGCCGGGTGTGTGTGTGTGTGTGTGTCTTTGGGATGTGACACAAGTGCTCTGACTTGGCCAGTGTTAGATCATATTGGATGATTATTACAAAGTGTCCCTATGCATTTACAGAGCTCTCATTTCAATTAGTTTATGGTGCTAGGACGGGAGAGGAAAAGTCAGAAGCTGGAACCATAAAGTTTGTTTGCTTTTCCATTGGTCTGGTTTTAAATCTTGTGCAAGTGCAGGCTGGTATTGTTTATGGTAACACTTTCTTATGGGGCATTAAGGCTTGTGTGGGCATAGCTGAGAGGTATAAACAACATTAGGCAACTTAAATTCAACATACAACATGTTTTATTATTCTTTCCACTCATTTAGTGTCATTCTGAGCACCTCGACAGGTACGTCCACCTCTTTTAACAAACATCTTTTTTTTTTTTTTTTTTTCTTAAAACTTCATAAATACCAAGCTTGATTTCCTCTTCGTAACTTCTTTGAGTTACAGTTAAGTGCTTATGAAAGAGAGTGATAGAACAGAGCTGCATTAAAATGTCACAGAATCGCTCTTGATAAGAAAACAGACCAAGAACACGAGTTACTTTCTTGTTGTTGTTGTTACGTATAAGCAATAGACTTTCATGCAATTAATTGGTACCATTTTCATTTTTCTTTCTATGGATGGTAAAGGTGACATTTATCAAGTCCTGTCTTAACTCTATTAAAGGATGCGATGTGCCAGTTTCAGTCACATTTCTTGTTTCTGCTACCTCTTCCTCCTGAGCTCCTCTTCCCGCTTTCCTTCCATTCCTCTTCCTTCTCTCTGGAAGGAAACTGTTGTGTGCAAAGTTCATCTGCTGTCTCACTCTCCCCTTCCTTGCTTCCAGAGCTGCTGCCTTGCTGCTGGTTAACCTGCGCTAGCGCCAGGTACGGGTGCTGAGGCAGAGCGGAATCGGGTGACGTAGCAACTGTTGTAGCCAGGACGTCTTGGGAGCCACCGTTAGATAGTGCTCTATACTTGAGCCTTAGCTTGTGTGGCAGAGCAGTGCCTTTCATTTCACCTTGGTTGTCTCCGTACTGGTAAGCATCACTGGCGACCATGGTGGGTGAGGATGCTGACTGGTGGATGGCATGATATCCACCAGTATCAGAGGAAGAGGATGAGGGAGATTCATCGTCAGTGGAGGCTTCCTTATCTGAGCTGCGTGGGTCTCCGTCGCTAGAGGAGGTGTCCTTGCCTGAGGAGGAGTGCTCTTGGTAGAAGCCATCTGCTTTTGGACAACCTTCATACGTTAGCACTGGTGGCTCCTCGTTCAGAATGCCGAGGTAGTGACTGGACCGCTGGTATATGTGGGCTTTTCCAGCCTCGTTGAGCAAATCTGGGGCAAAAGAATTTCGAGTGCCCTCTTGAACCTGACTTCTGCATTGTCCTTGAATGCTCAGGTCTTGCTGCTGTATGACAAACCGCCTGCTCTCCCTGGCATCTGCCTTGAATTCATAGCTTGGTGAATCCAAAGACCTCCTGGCCAGCTGCTGTGCCACCTCTGAAAGAGTCTCTAAACCATCAGGTCTTATTGGTAGATTGCACCCTGTTTGAGTAAAATGAGTGATTTGCCCATTCTGTTGTGTTTGGGAAGCCACCTGCTGATCCATGTCCTCAACCCTTTGGCTCTCAACAGGGTAGGAGCTGCTTCTGGAACGAAAGAGAATGACGCTTCTTTGGGGTGTGGCGGAAGGAGGGGCTGGGTTGTTGACACCTTCTTGGTGTTCCATTTCTTGCGCTTGGTGATTCTCCAGTCGTCCAAGACTTTGATGGCCATTGAACATGCCATTAAGAACACTTGCCTCAAGCCTGTTAATGTCCATTCCAGAGCTCTCGTGTTTGATGTCAAAGTTTATAGGTTCAGGACTGTCCCGTGAAGATCCATCAGACATGTCAGACAGTGATCCATGGGGGGAGTACTTGAGTAACGTTGTGTGGCGTTCACTCCTGGTCGGCTGCTCAGCCTCTGAGGAATCAGAGTTCATCATGACCTGAGAAGCACTGGAGTATCCACTGCTTGAGTAATATGGATTTCCGGAAGTTGCTCCGGTACCATTAGCTTCATTAGTCGCTGCCTCAATAGCATTGCTGATCTGCTGTGTCTTCTCCATGTAAGAGGCAGAGCTTATGAGTCCAAATCTTAGTTTCAATTGCAAGAGTTCTGTCTTCAGCCGCACATTCTCCTCATTCAGTGCCATTACCCTGTTCTCCAACACCATATCATTGAGCCGGCGCTTCTCCCTTGACCTTTTGGCAGCCTCGTTATTCTTGCGACGCTTTTCCCAGTAGGATGCATCTTTCTTTTCATCTGAGATGAACTCCCGCTTTCGCCGACAGGTCGTGTTGGGTTTTGGTTTTATTAGTCGGCCTTGACGAGGAGGGCTGGTGATTTGAGGTGATGGTAAACTCTCACTGTAGTTTGAGAAGGTTTCTAACGTTTCCAAACTGGAATCGTTGTTTTGGGTAGGAAGATTTAGGCTTTCCATTGTGATCCTATTAAGGCCAGTTTGTATAACTGGCACTCAGTGGACATTGAAAATTAATGTTGTAATACTGAAGAGTGTTTGTTTCTGATTCACACTTCAAAAACACACTTAATTGTCAGTATGCACAATGATGTACGAGGTTCTGTTTTTCCTCCAAAGAGGAACCGTACGTATTTCTGATTGATGCCTTTTTCCTCCTACTCTAACCAGTCTTTCAAACCTTTCAAGTGTCCAGACTGGTCAAAAAGATAAGAAAAAGATGAAAGGCAACAAAAACAACCGTCATTGGATAGGTGTGTTACAAGTTTAGTTTAGTAAGGATAGTCTTCTTTTTTGTTTAGCTTGCTTTTAGTTCTTTCTTAATTTAGACAGTTTAATTTGTCCTTGTTCTTGATGGGTGAGGTGGCAGTGTAGGCTGGGATTGCTGTTGAAGAATAAACTTTCTTTTTCCAAGCACCCCGAAAGATGTTGATCATTCATCAGATCCGTCACAGCTCAATGTTTTATCCCAGTCTTTGATGAACAGATCTGTAAAGACAATGAAACAGGATGTGTTTACTTAAAATGTGCCTACAAGAATGAATAAAATGTAGGTCAGTAGAGTAGCGTAGCACAGCGAGTAGGAGATCATGCCGTGCTACAGTAGGACACTTATTGTGTAAGATACTCCACTGTCACATAATCAGAGACACCTGACTGACTGCCAGGACTGCAGGCAAAGGAAGCACCACAGAAGATAACTAAGGGTGTGGAATATCCGGAATAACCCTCATTCTCTTTTTATCATTTATTTGTGATCCAAACATCATTTATTGACAATGTAACTAAGAACATTTGGTTTACTAAAAATAAGGAGTACGTAATGTACACAACTAACTTTTTAACTGACTTCTTATTGTGCTTTTTTATTATTAGGACTTTGTCCTTGATTTGTTAGCTCATCCGATTTTTGCAGCTTATCGTGAGAATCTGAATTCATGTTACATAACCACACACAGCTATTGCACCATCGCTAAAACACAACCTCAACACCAGGCATTCTCATTGTTCAACACTAAAAAAGAGGAAGAGGAACAAAAATGTGCAGCACAAACAGCCCATTGTTCTCAAAAGCAAACATAGAACTTTGCAGACGCCTGTTTTGTTTAAGCCCGATTTAATTTTCCCTTATCTTCAACCACACAAGTGAGTATTACTTTGTATTTCTACATTTGTACGTAACTTTGTCCATTGTGGTTAGGCTTAACACACTGTGGGGACAGAGCATCCTGAAAACATGGAAGCACAAAGTATTTGGTCCATGCATGACCATTTTTCCGTAGGAACGCAAACGAGAGCAAGGGGGAGGGCGGAGGACGTTGCGCGTGTATCCCACTGACCTAGAAACTGGCTGCTCCGTAAACACGGTGCGTGCGTGCACTGGGTCCAACGCTGTGCTGTAAAATAGGTCAGTGGGGCGGCAACGGTGTGTGCGTGCGCGGGTGTGTGTCTGTGATAGAATGCGTCTGAGCAAGTGGGGAGGAATTATAGTGCCTACCAAAAATAGTGTGCTTGGGTGAGGGAGGAGTTAAGGATTCCAATTGGGGGACGAGACAGGAATTTACCAGCACTGCAGAGGTACAAAAAAAGAGCGAATACGTCTGCATCAGAATATTAGATTAAACTGGGCTATGAATCACTCCAGTGATGCACTGATACGCATCAAATGCACTAGCATTTTCCTGAAACGCAATGAGAAAGGGAGGAAGATTTCAAAATTAAGGATTCTGCTCTTACACCACAAGGATTGTCCGATGTGGTCCAGCTTTTGTAATATCACTCATCATCAGCTATAAAACAGAGAATGAGGTACTGCGCAATTCAGACTGCAGGTTGTGGCTCGATGCCAGATTGTCATAGCAGTCCAGGATCATTTTAGGACATGCTGAGCTAAATTCAGACACCTAAGTTACTATAAATATAGTGCCTGTAAACCTTTATTTAATGGTAGATTAGTGACTTAGGATAAGAATTATTTTCAAAAAATAAGGAGGAAGACATAACCGTCCACATGCACATTTGTGTTATTGGTTCCCCCAGCTTGTTTACTTTTCCTCTTCCAAGAATAAGTGTCCACAATTCAGAAAAAATAGCTTGAGGTCCAGTCAAACACACAGTTATGCACCGTTCCACATGGATAGTGTTTACAACTGGAAGACTCCCTGCATGTGTTCTCCCAGTCACATGTAGGCAAAACTGTTACGCCTCCAGTCCTCCTTAGGCCAAGTAGGCCAGTAAGACTGTGAGATAGTATGTTGGCTAGACTCTTAATTACAGGGGTTAATGCTGAAATCACAATAGCTGTCCATGAAAATTGAGTTCACACCAACTTGTCAGAGACTAGGATGCTCTTCAGATTATATGACCACTTGTGTGCATGTCATTTGGGTTTTTTTTCTGAAACAAAAACGTTATTATTTGGTTTTCAAACTGATGCTTAGTATTGCGAGAAGTTTGGGAGCAATGTGAGGCAGTTTCAGATTCCTGGCATTGCTGAACGGGGAGTGGTGGAATTGTTAAGGGGCAAAGTGTACTTGGTTTGGGAGTAGGTCGGCTTTTTATGAGCCGAGCATGCAATGGGTATTGCATCACAATTAGTTATGATAAATTATTAAACATTTGCACATTAGTCTGCTAGTCTTGCTTGTGACTAAACCTGCCTCTCTCTTTCCCAACCAAAAGTTTTACGTCGCTTCACATTGCACAATAATCTACGATACACGCACTGGCATTACAAGAATTGAATTAATTTACTGTCATTATTAGGTTACTGTGACGTGATTACTGAACATTCGCGCATCTGAGGAAGGTCTGTCTCTGTTCGCCACTGAACATCGTGCAACCAAACAACCCCTCGCGTGGCATCCGAACGCATTATCCTATCGGGATATCCTATTTTACAACCAAACGCGTTGTAAGAAACGCGGACTTGCAACTAACTTATTGAAATGCAAGGGAATGGTGCCACCGCAATGCACAGACATTAACTGACCCAACAGCCACTCTTGCGATTGGATTTCGTAATGATCACCACCTCCCCCACGCCACGACCGTCTCGCCTTGACATTGAATGTTAATCTGTATGCAATGCACAATGCGAGATAATCTGTTGCTACCTTACACTTCCCGATATGCCAAAATAAACAATAAAGAAAAGAAAATCATTGAAAACCAAAGAATTTGTCAGTCAGCGAAGCATTTGAGAGGCATGCCGACCCTGAGTCCGTTTCCATGTGAACAATGACATGCCCTGACCACGTTGCAAGGTACGAGCCTAGCCTACTACTGCTTAGCCTGCTACAAGCTCTGTAAAACACAATACATACAGCACGTACTATGAAATATTTTATGATAAACCGACTGCAGTTGAACTCACCTAAGTGAAATAGCACATTCCTTTCGTTAAACGGAAGAATCCTCTTTTATTCTTCAATAAATCGCTCCTCTGCGTCTCTATATGCGGTCTCTCGTCCCGATTCTGCTCGTTCTTCCTTTTATAACTTCAGTCTGGGCTGAAAATGTCTCGCGTGGGACGTGATCCACTCACCGGCTTTGTGTCGATTAATGTGACTCCCTGAATGTGCTGCTATTCGCCGTCTATCTCTCCCTCCCTCTTCGTCCTTGTGTTATGTCGGAGGCTTTGCTCCAGTTTTCCTCTCTTACACACACGTACACACACACTTGCTCCTCTCGTCGTCCTCGAATGTGTGTTAGTAGGTCAGCGGTTGCATAACACGGAGCTTTGGATGCCTAGTCACAGTTTTGTTCATCATGACGATACACAAGCCTCCACTCCTGCCCAAATGACCGAAGAGGGAACGAAGGTGGTCAAAAAAAGCTCTTCTCCCGTTCACCGTAAAGACACTCACCCTATACACCGACCACATACACGGCAACAGCGGTGTGCGGCGGCTTCAACACGCCTCTGTATACTCGGCTTCTCTGGAAGAAGGAGGTTACGAGACTGCTAAACTGTTGCGTAAATATTCACAATTACATAAAAGATACTTTGGCTCAAAGAAAAGTCTCCGTTGATTACAATCTATCTCACCGTCTATTTTGAAAAGTTTAAGTAAGCTACATTTCTTTAAATATTTTTGTTCTTTCTTTTAAATATTATATCAGTAAAATAATGTATTTAAGTGCTATTGTTCCATCTCAAACGTAATATTGTGCTTTTTTTTTAAAGAAGTTACAGGGTTGATGGTTTTATTAATGATAATAATAATAATAATAATAATAAATTATTAGCAAAGTAAAATTCTGATCTTGAGGATAAGTATTATAGTAGCGCAATTAGTATTTTATATTATTAGTGTAATAAGAATATTATAGCACTGTTATTATTTACACTGGGGTACAAATTAGCAGTTACTTTACTGTAAGTACAATGTAACAATATGCACATTTTAAGTACATAGTAAAGACATTTAATATAGCATAACATTGAATTATATACTGAAATATTAGTGATGAGTCTAAAATAAACACTAATATAATTCAGCTGCCTATTATTTAGTTTATATAGTTTCGCATAGTGATTTTCAGTTGCCCAACAAAAGCTTGTTCAAGAAGAATGTATGACTTGTACATACCCAGTCTCTTTCAAAACATGATACAGGCCAAGGTTACAGTTTTTACAGGTTTTGGGTTCTTGTATGCATTGCAGCGTTTACTCATATTTAGGTTATGTGTACGTGTCTGTGTATGTCATTATAAATCGGTAGGTTCTTATAAGTTCCTTGACCTGAATAATGTTACAGGTGACAGTACAGTTCCCAGAAAGTGCTAATTATACATAAACAAACATGTAACGTCATCTCTCCAAGAACAACTATAGGGTTTTCCAACCGGTTGCTCAGTTTGAATCCTTGCAAACCTGATTCAGAAATCACTTTAAACGCATCTTTGTAAATGCACTTGACTCAGGTCCTTTTGTGGGAATGTTTGTTCAAAGAAAATAAATTTACATTTAAATGGAAGTAGGTCATACTATTTTTTTCTCACAAATTTGCATGTGAACCTCAGTGAACTTTAAAGGAATGTTTCACCCAAAAATGAAAATTTGCTTAAAATGTAATCCCCCTCAGGCCGTCCAAGATGTAGATGAGTTTGTTTCTTCATGAGAACAGCGAAATTTAGCAGCATATCACTTGCTCATCAATGGATCCTCTGCAGTGAATGGGTGCCGTCAGAATGAGAGTCCAAACAGCAGATAAAAACTCCACAAGTAATCCACACCACTCCAGTCCATCAATAAACATCTTGTAAAAAAGAAAAAGCAGCGTGTTTTTGAGAAAAAAATCCATCATTAAGCCTTTTTTTTTTTTTACTTTAAACCATTGTTCCTGGATAAAATATGAGTAATTTATCCATAATATTGCTTTCTCCAGTCATCTCGTCTGAATCAGGCGAGAAATATGCACAGATCAAGCACTGTTTAGTGTTTACATGCAAAAACAGTCCAAAACCGTTCAAGTATATCGGTAGGTTTTGATGCGAGAGGACATAAGAGAATGGACTTTTTCAAGCTTTAAGGTTACAAAATGTCTTGAAAGATGAAACAAACTCATGAAAAAACATTGAAGATTGAATAAAGAAAGTATTCTAAATTTTGTATGGCCCGAGGGTGAAATTTTCCATTTTTGGTGAACTTTACCTTTAAGAACCTTTTGACACAGTACGTGTATTTTTACCAGTGGCAAAAATAATCTCAAGCCAGCTGCAACAATCTTTATAACATGTGCCCACTTAAACCATGCTAGAATATGGAATCCTAGTGAAGTGCTAGGATCAAGAGGGTCACGGTTAGAGACATGTCAGTTTTAGGCCTCCGCCGGCAGCCCACGCGCTCCCCCTTCATCTGTCGTGGTGCTGACGGACACTACGCAGACTGGGGGTGTTGGCCTTGAACTTGCCTTTCCCTCCGCATTCTCCCCCATTCACTCACAGCTGCGTCTGCTACAGTTCCCTAGGCAACCGTTATGCTGCCTGCCTAGCAACTGGTTTTCCTCCCCCCTCCCTCCTTGCAGATAGAGAGGGGTTGATGAGGGGTGCTGGGAGAGACAAAGAACCCAATGTGTGTTTATCCAATGTGGATCATGGAACAGGAAGCAGCGTAGGCATCCTCTGTGGGGCTGTATTGTCTGAGCAACCACACTCGCCGGTCCACTAGTAGATCTGAGATCCAAGGGCAGCAGATGTTAATAGTTATGAATGGGGGCAATATTTTGAAATCCTGCCACGTCTTCATTCATAAAAGCAGAATGCCTAATAAACATTACACCTCAGTGTTTACAAATCAAGACCAGCTTTATATTGTAGAAGTGCATATTGTTTATTGGTGTGTTTGTATAGTTAAAGTACAGGATAAAAACACACACATTTTATTACGGCATAGTCAACAGCCAACCAATAAATATATAAACAAACCATGGTAGTGCCCCCACATGGTAATATTTCAAACATGAGACATGGTAAGTGTTTTAAAGGAATAGTTAACCCAAAAATGTAAAATGGAGAACGTTTACTCGCACTCAGGTGATCCAAGATGTAGATGAGTTTGTTTCTTCATCAGAGCAGATTGGGAGAAATTTAGCATTACATCACTTGCTGTATGAGAGTCCAAACAGCTGATAAAAACATCACAGTAATCCACAAGGGAGATTATTATGGATTATAGATTGGTATTTTAAAATACAGAACACTGCTGAGCTTGTAAACCTTTTGTTTCGATCCACTGCTGCTTGCCTGTGTCTTTTTGCATTGCTTGCATGTTTAACGTTCAGCATAAATGCATTCGTGAATCAATAACTTTGTCTCCTGCATCTTAAAATAGCAACAGAAGTGCTGATGTTGACATTGAACATGTAGCTGCGATAAACTGTCTCGCAGACAGTGAGACTGTGGGAATCTCTAGAGGAAATAAATTCACACATTCTTGTTTCTTTTAGCTTTGTATGTTGAATTCACTCCTTACTATAGAGAATCAATGACGTTCACTCTCACATCTTTAAATAGCCGTTTAGGTGCTGATGCTGCCATTGAAGTTGTTGCTGTAATCAGCCACTCTGGGAGCCAAATATACTGTTGCCCTGCAAAGAGCTGCTTGTGATCAGTCAACTGCTGAGTATATGCGGGTCATGTGTTTTGTTCACCAGAATTAAATATTTAAAATGACAAATAAATATGATATACTTTACTATGAATATGTTCAGTTCTATTCTGCAAGATGATTAGTTTAAAAAAAATCACTAATTTAAAAACGGTGATAAAAATAGTATGTTCTTGCAGAGACCCGAGAACATATTCTGACGTAATAGTAATCTGAAATCGTCATAAAACCAGTAAACATTATTAGAATTTAAAATAACTGTTTTCTATCTGAATATATTTTAAAATGTAACTGATTCAAGTCTTCAGTGTCACATGATCTTTCAGAAATCAAATATGCTGATTTGCTGCTCAAGAGACAGTTGTGATGCTGAATATTTTTGAGGAAATTTCTGATGAATAAAAAGCTCAAAAGAACAGAACTTATTTAAAATAGAAATGGTTTGTAACATGATAAATGTCTTTACTGTCATGTTTGATCAGTTTAATGTGTCTGAATAAAAGTATTAATTTCTTACAGAATCTTAAAAAAATCTTACAGACCTCACATTTTTAATGGTACTCTAACAGTATTATGTATATGTGTTTTAATTAGCTTTTTAGGCTGACTAAATAATAAAAACACATTGGTTATGATTTATCTTCTTAATTTTGAAATAACCAGATTCTGGATATTTCATTTCTGATATAATTAATATGCAGCGCTTTAAAATATACAATTCATTCTCTGTTGAGTCTTATAGATTATAAACATGGAAGCAGATAGACCTAAAGAATGTGGGTTTGTAAAGAAATGCATGCACTTTTGCTTTCACCAGAGGCTTTTTTTAATCTCACATCTTTTAATAACAGACCTGTGGCTTAAATCAGAGATGTAACATTTCACTTCCCTTCTTTCCGGGTAAAAACCAAAAAGTCCACTCTTATTCATAAAACAAGAGCACATATTTGTATCAGATGTGTAAAATTAATGTAAAAAAAAGAAAGGAAAATACTTTGAATTCAAAGTGCATTTAAACAAACTGGCAAAACCAAGAGTTCTCTCCCCAAGCAAAAGCCCAAACAGAGATTTAATGAAAAAATAACAGGCACCGAATAGGAAAAGTACACAAAAAAGGTTTAGATTTAATTGTCATTTGGGAAGGTTCAGTGTTGCTTAACTTCAACAAAGCACCATACGCCACAACAGTAGACACAGAAGACAGCAGAACATTTTTCATTTCATCCAGCATGCAGTGAACATTACTAGTGGAGCAAACAGACATATGAAACATTCACATAAATTAAAAATCACTTAAATTGCCAGCTGTTCCAGTGAACAACCAGCTGGCTTCTTCTATTTGTCTGTTACAATCAGAAAAATGGGCTCTTTCTTTGGATAGGCCAGAAGACAGGTTGGACGGATGATTTCAGTTCACTTTGGAGAGCTGATGTTCAGACAACAGTTTTTTGAGCTGGGCCACTTCTTCAGTCAAAGCGCTGATCTGGAATCTAATAGCACTGTGACTTTCTATATGCCTGTGAATTGAAGGGTTATTCTGAAGTGCTGTTGAACAAGCTGATGGCATTGTGTGTGTTTGTAACCTCCATAAAGCCTCTGTAGACTGAGACTGTGACGTATTCTCTACTGGAAGAAGGACTTCAGCATCAGCACCTTCAATTCCACATGGAGTCTTGAAACGTAGTTTATGAGGAAGACCTTTCATATTGTTCGCTTGCCATCCTAATGAATTTGTATCCACTGCTGTAATACCGCTTGGCTGTTCTCCAGGGAATTTACGGATATGTTCACCTCCAGCATCATCTAAAAGCTCTGGGCTCCCAATGCTTGACCCTCCAGGCATGAAGAACCCAAAGTTTTGCGCCCCATCTGGACCACCATGCTGTGGGATTGATAATGCGTGAACAAAAGTAGGTTGTAAGTTTGTACTGGGGCAGTTGTAGGGTATTGCTGGAGATGTTTGGTTATGTGGACCAAAGGAGCAGATCTGTGCTGGTGAATCTGTGGGATCTTTGATCAAACCGAATTTGAACTTAAGTGCCAGTAGCTCAGCTTTCAGACGGGCGTTGTCTTCAAGAAGAGCCAGAACGTTGCTTTCTACCACCTTGTCATTGATGCGGCGTTTCTCACGCGAACGCCTGGCAGCTTCGTTGTTCTTTTTGCGCTTGTCCCAATAACCTTGGTCTTTTTTCTCGGCAGGGATACACTCACGTTTGCCACGTAGAGTGATACGGCTGTCAGTCTCAGAGCTTTCTTGGTCTTTCAGACCTCTGGGATGGATAAGAAAAGAGCGGGCTAGCATACAGCTGGACGTTAATATGGACACTGTTTCTTCTGTGAAAGACATAGTTCCATCCTGACTGACTGGCTCAGTTATTTCTTGAGGGTACACCACTCTCTGTTCTGCCAGCGTGACACTTTAATCCTTTATGCTTTGAGTCTGGGGCTTATTGTATGTTTGAAATCACAAGACAAGCTCACAGGTCGTCTAAAATGTTGGCACTCAAAAAAACTCTCTTTGTTGCCGTCTTGAAGATCTTTAGCTCCCCCTAGTGTTTGAGTGCAGAAATAAAATTAAGGGGTTTATGTAGGCTCACATATTACGTAACTGTGAAGCAATATGGCAATTTTAGAAATAAAGGTATATAATACATGTGAAGCCAAATTATAAAAACAGTAACTTTAGAACATTTAAGCATAACTTAAAAACAAAAAGCCACGGTAATTGATTATTCAGATTTTAAATTCTAATTAATAATTAAATTCTAGTTTTTGAAAGTTGTGGCTTAAATAGCACTTTTAAATGTCAATAACTAAATAGAAAGGAAACTTTAACAGACTAATATGAAATATGTAATTTTTTTTTTTTGTGGAAAATAATAGGCTACTTTTTAATTTATTATTTTTTTTAATCAAAAGGCTATGAAATGATAGCAATGATAGTGTTACTGATAGTATTACTAAAAAAATCCATGATATTTTTAAAAACAAATATTAATATAGTTAATATTTACCTTGAAAAATATATTTGACAACTTTTGAAGTAATGGAAATGGTCATATCTATCTATCTATCTATCTAGTAACCAACTTAAATACAAAGATTGCATTATAAAGAACTTGGGCACGTTTTTTACTATGTCAATAACTAAATAGAAAGGAAACTAATATGAAATATGTAAAAAAAAAAATTTGGGGAAAATAATAGGCTACTTTTTAATTTATTTATTTTTTTTAATCAAAAGGCTATGAAATGATAGCAATGATAGTGTTACTGATAGTATTACTAAAAAAATCCATGATATTTTTAAAAACAAATATTAATATAGTTAATATTTACCTTGAAAAATATATTTGACAACTTTTGAAGTAATGGAAATGGTCATATCTATCTATCTATCTATCTATCTATCTATCTAGTAACCAACTTAAATACAAAGATTGCATTATAAAGAACTTGGGCACGTTTTTTACTAGGTTTTTAAAGGATTTTTATTTTGTCAGATATTTTGCATCTCTCCCATGGCAATTATGTTACACCATAACAGTAGCCTAATGTATGCTACTCATTTCTCTCTCTCTCTCTCTATATATATGTATATGTAAATATATATATATATATATATTTTTTTTTTTTTTTTTTTTTTTTTCTTTTTT